TTACAATGTCACCTTTAACTGAAAAATAAAGTTGAGAAAGAAAAAATATTAGCATCTACAGAGCATTGTAGTATGTAGCAAAACTTACAGTACTACAGTAGAATGGCAGCCAACACGGTATGATTTAAAAACAGAAGCTGGGAACTTTATACCTTTATTGCTATACCTTAAGGGCTTCTATTCCAAGGAGTGTCTGTTTATGTTTTTAAAGTGGAGTGCACTGTGCAAAAATTATAGGCATAAGCATTTTAATCATTTTTAAAAAACCTCTACAGTGAAAAAAGTCGCAATAAAAACAGCCACTGGATTTAACAAGAGTTCTGCATTAAAGACAAAACATAAGAAAAAAACTTCTTTGCTTGCAAGGAAATAAACAGCATGCAAATCAAACCAATAAGAATGTGGTGTTGAAATTTCAATACAATAAAAGCAATCAAAACTGAATCCTTTACTATAACCCTGCTGGATGTATGCTATGCTAGCATGTTGAACTGTTAGTACTGCACAGTTTATCACTTGGATTCCATATTTAACATGCTCCTGTGTACTGCTGCAAGACAAAAAAGGTATGTTATCTTTCTCCACTTTGGAGAGAAAATTAAACACACAACTAAACTCACTAACCACACTCCTGAACTAAACAAACACTGTGCCGGATATGTAATCTCATTTCCCAATAAAAAGAAGGATTTTCCATCTTCTCAGCTACAACCAGATTTTTCTTTCTCTCTCTCTGCAGCAAACCCTTGTCCTTCTCTTTATTTTTTATTTAAAAAAAACTGTACCCTGCAGGTGTGTCCAATGAAAGCCCAAGGACATTTTGAGAAACATAGTTTGTTCTGTCTTCTCCCTTTCAACATCCCCAGCTGTTCACCTCAGTTCTACAGAGTATGTAAGCAAGGGCAGTCCTATGCTCTTCTTGGAGCGCCAGTTTGCCAGCAGGTTTGTTTGGTCTCTAAAGCAGTAGAACCTGAAGAGGTGGAAGAAGCTGTTACTGTAAATTGGTCCAATTAAGCTAGTGGCCATCTGGATTAGCTTGTTAGTTGCTGACTGGTAATGAAAAGCTTTGAGAGTTACCATTTTATTCAATGATATACCTTTTTAGCATACAATAAAACAATTAAATTGCTTATTATGAATTAATAAACAAGCGTACACACTGCCAAAAAATACATATTGAATGCTTGCCACTGAAGAAGTTTTCAAGTCACACAATTTTTCAGTAGTGTTAAGATACTTTCCATTAGTGAAAAACAACATTTCTTAATACAGGCATAGCTTTTAAATTTTGGATTTAACACAAATTTATTTTTTTTATTTCCAAGCAACTTCATTTGTATGAGGCAGTGGTGCAAAAAACATTATAACACAGGGAGTGGAAGTAAAGGGACAGGCTAGAAAAATAAATATTGACCGCTTAACTTCCTGCAATCCATTGGGATATCTTTTGAGATAACAAAATATGACATTACTGGTTTGGCAAAGAATTATGGGGAATGTGAGGCAGTAACTCAGACCTCACACATTTCGACAGGCAAATAGCCTAGAGTCAGTCTCACATCATGTCTTATTTTTTTCGATTACAGTTAATTTAAAGTGACCACTTATTAGGCAAAGAAGGTACATCAGATTTAGGTCTTAATTTAATGTCAGCACATATTAAGATGTTTATTATTAAAGTGGCGTACAGATAAAATTAACTTGACATCTTTCAGCACTAATAGACTATTTGATTTTTGAAGAATACTTCTAAATAGCTGTTGATTTTAAAAGCCACAGACAGATTTAAAAGAATTGCTTCTTTTTATCAATTTTCATAGAACTAGAAGTTCAAACTCATATTAATTTAAAATGTCTTAAGATAATAAAACAAAACTGATAAAACATGAATGAAAGAAAAATATATACTGTATAAGGAAAAAATAACATGAAAATTGTAAAGAATAATCTGTTCTTAGATTGATGTGTTCTCCACTGATTCTCAAGGTATTATTATTCCTTTTCATTCACAAAGCAAGTACAGCACAAAAGTTCCAGTATAAATTACTTGACATAATACATAAAAATACCAATATCAATGTATTTGGTGTTTGACATAATGATCCTTTGTTTAAGGATCAAAATCAACACTGTTGATTTTGATAAAGTTAAATTACATTAACACCTTGGAACACCTTTTGCACACAAAATAACTGTGGTAATGTTAGGGAATATGTAAAACCTGACAAATATTCACAAATACTGTGAATTTACAAATTAGAAATATAACATTTTCTGGTTAATCAAGCAAATTATTTTATTGATATTTCATTATAGTTATTATTTTATTGATTGAAATAAAACAATGGGTAAAATATTGAAAGATGTTTCTGTGTTTAATTATGTATAATTCAAAAATAATCCAAAACTGACATTTGAAATCACAGTCTTAGAGTAACAACTTAGTTAAAGCAATTACACCTATGGAGTAAGTCTACATAAAGACAACACAAAACTCAAAGTCAAAGATTCAATGTACAACATAATCTTCATTAGCCACAAATACACTTAAAATTAGGTTCTTTAGAAAAGATTTAAGGTTTTATAAATCCTTGTAGCTTGCATACACAAAGTCATTTGTGAAGAAAGAAAAAAAATGTGCCTTGGAGATTAAAAATAAATAAATATTTTTTTCACTTACAAGTATAACTTCTGTAAATTACTCTATTACATACATTTCAGGGTTTAATCTGTTAATAATTACATTTCATCAAAGTACTTCTTATGACTTTAGTGACTCAAACATCCACCTCTCTCAGCTCCTGTTCTGTATAAACTCAAACGTGTTTTTAACCCTTTCAGTGGTAAGGATGCCATTGTATGTTGAATGTTTAGAGGTCTCCTAGGAGAGATGAAGATGTTGTACATCCCAGAGATTTTAAACTACACTTACCAGAATTACAAAATACCTTGATCATCTAGTTTGAAAAACACTATAGTTGTTACAGGAATATTTTAGCTTGTTCCACACTCCCACATAAGTATTATAATTAGCAACAGAGTAAATCATTCTAATATGGTTTAATCAAAATATCACATTTTGCATTCTTATAAAAATGTTCAACACAAATTACATAAAATTCCTATGCAAAATTTTGTTAGTACATTAAACCATAAACACATTAAACAGAAGGATCGGGACAGACAAAAAATACAGGAAACAAAAGGACAAGTCGCCAGACAATATCTAGAGCTCAGACAGTGAGACTTCAGAGCACTGTAACATCACCCTCTGATATGGCCTATGACCTCACTCTTTGTTCTGCACATGATACCCTCATAATACAAATACAGGTTCCCGAGACACATAGTGTTTTATATTAGATTTACAGCTACCATAACTTCCTAATGGTAAGAAAACATGTTTTGTTGCTTTAATTAATCATATTAATCAAGGATTTTTTTTTCCATACGTTGATAGAACACAATAAAAATTATGTTTCTATAAACTGATTTGAAAGTAAAACTACAAGACTTAAAAGCAACACAATGTTTTTAAACAATTTTTTATCCAAAGTATAGATCTGCATTTTATAAGTCACACAAAAAAATAGTATCTGTAACGTGACAGTTGTAAGTAACAAGCAGTTGCATGTTTCAACAAATCTCCTGTCTTATGAGAGGTGTAAATGAAACAGGCTGTACTTCTTAAAATATTCTCACAATTTCATTAATGGAACTTTGCACATAGTCTGGCTGTCAACTACTAGTATTTATAAATAACTGTTCACTAACAAAATGCATGCTGCACTTTCAAATCACTTTTAAAAGTACTGAATTGATGACATTCTGACAATTTAACTTGGTAATTTTCTTGTTATTTTTAAAGGATAAAACCTCCATAACTTCATCAATAAAAAGCCACTGTAACACATGAGCAGCGTAACTTGAATTGATTTCTCTAACAAAGTAGTGACCTTGCTTACTCTCTTATAAAAGCCACCCTGAATTCCACTCTACAACTCTGCCTAAATAAAATCATGGGACGAAAAAGGATGTGTAACAAAGGTTAATGTGAGAAAATAATGTAAAGAAAACTATATTTATAATTTATATTATAAATCATAACATACAATAGTTTGAGTAACTAGAGTCTGTCTTTAATTTAAACAAAAATTATACAAAACTTTCCTTAGTCACTACTTTATATACTATATACATGTAACATTCACTAATGCCAGAACTCTGCAAGACACCCTAATGTTTCCATGACAAATGACGTCACCTCGTCCCCCAACGTAATTACATGCTATAGAAGTGAATCGATTCCACCTGCTCATACTTAAGAAAACTCAAGTTTGGATGTTTTCACATCACGCACACCCTAATGTTGCCATGACAAATGACGTCACCTCGTCCCCCAAAGTAATTACATGCTATAGAAGTGAATCGATTCCACTTGCTCATACTTAGGAACACTCAAGTTTGGATATTTTCACATCACGCCCTCATTAACTGTAGAGGTTTGTCTCGATTTTGGCATGCCTCTGGTTTTGGTTTTCTCTGGTTTGGTTTCTCTGGCTTGGCTTTGTTTTGGTTTTGTTGTTGGATAGCCCCTGTGCTTGCTTCTACAGCTAACTGGCTTGTGTTCGCTTGTGTTTTTCTCAGACTTTTTTGTGGATTTCCCTTTGGTACTTTGCTATATGATCTCCTGGTTGCTGTACTCGCCTGGTTTTGGACCTGCTTTTGGACTGTTCCTGGATGGCTTTTCTCATTTCCATTGCACCTGGGCTCAACTTGCTACATGGACTGCTCTGCTTAAGGTAAGAAGTTAAGCAAAAAATAGAACACAGTTGTTTGTCATAGTACTGAAAATTAAGCATTTACTGATAATTGTATTGGCATGTATTTAAGTTAGATTGATTAATTAAGATGATCAAACACACCACAGACGTACTGTATGCACAGATTTTCTTTTCAACTATTTTTACAACAATCCACTATTACAGTAAGAACAGTACCTGTAAATATTCCTTGTCTTGTCAAACAGCTTTAAAAATCCAACACATTTCAGGGTCAGTTGGTCCTTCAAGACCTAAGAAGAAAAGAAAAAACAGTACAATTTTGAGATTTACACTTTAAAGAGGTACTTTAAGGTCAGACATGGCAAACATTATTAAGAAGAAAATGCTGAATGCTTAAAGTTTCCATATAATACCAACAAATAAAACTAGAGGAATCAATATTATATATATATTATATATAAGCATGACATTGTATACACTGTGTAAGTAGTTTTGTATTTGAGCATTGAGAGAAGTCAAAGGTCATAGAGAAAGTCATTTTTGGACATATAGGATCCTACATGAATTCCATCATGACTCTATCTGCATGCTTTATTGTCTCATAAACTAATTTTGCATCTGACCAGAAGAAGAGGGTCAAATGTTGTTTATGGCTGCCAAATGTTGTTACCGATCATTTTTCTTTCCATTTCAGAAAATAATTACCACAGGTTTCTATTCCTCTGTGATGATTCGCTGGCTTACAACTTTCACGTGTAGACCCATGTCAAAACATATGCAAATATATGCATATTAACCACATCTGAAAATTGGATTGGATCATGGCAATTTGAGCAAATGAATTTTGATAGAGAGCCTGTCATAGTTTATGTATACCAAATGTCCTTGAAGAATAATAAAATAATAATAAAAACCGTAGAGTTCAAGCAACATGCTTGACCCACTAATAATACTAATAGAAGTGCTTCCTAAGGATATTATGTAAAATTTCATCCACCTTGGAATTTAAGGTAATACCATACCTTCAATTAATTTTGGAATATATTATGTATCATCAATATTCCACATAACCAAAAAGGTAATACACTGAAAAATATATCCAAACATTTTCAAGTTGATTAAGAGAACACACCCTTTAACAGGGCATTTGACTATCTCTACATAGCCACTTCTCAGAAAAAAAACTTTGGGTCATTTCTGTGTCAACAATTATTAAGGTTATTCTTGCAATTAATAGCCTCTTCATACATTTTTAAAATGTTGTCTCCCCTTGCTTTCATGATAGGATGATTATATATGTATGAAGAGCTATTCAGGTCACATCAGCCTTTAATGTGTGATTTATGTGCATAAAGCAGTTCCCTGATGTAGGTTGTGAGACAAAAAGACTGATTCAAACAGCATTAAAACGCCACAATAAATATTCTGTGTGATATTTGCATATTGATTGTTAAAATTAATCCGAAGACATCATTGAAATTGTAAAGGTTTCAAACTGAAAAGACAGAAATGAAAAGTAAGGAATTAATATCAATGTAAGGCTTAACAGAGGTGAAGCAGGTCTTATTAATTCATTCTGAACAACTACTTTCAAATGCAAGTTCTTTTTTTAAGAGTTTGGGGGGAAGGGCTGGTTCTTCTCCCAATAATTTTATTTGCAATTTAACAATTTCATTTTATTTTGTGTCCAACAAAACAGAATATCCTCTCCTCCTTTTTCACAAGTTTAACTTGTATCATGTGTACTGATTATTAATAAAGCCTTATCTGATAATGATCCCCTGACCAGTTAAACAAAGGCTTAGGTTTAAAAGATTACGTGAGTTAGTTGCACATGCTGGGAGAAGCTCAGCAAGAAAAACAGCAGATTACCAACATTCAAGCAAAATAGTCTGAATGGCCTCCTCTGATGTCGCGCTCAACCTTTTATACTGTACGTGCTTTTGTTCTTATTCCAGAGGGGGACAAATATGAACACAGAGGAAATGGACTACAATATGTTGAGAGTTAAACTGACTTTTCTGTTCTTTTTTATGTCTCTTTAAAAAACTAAGACCACAGATTTATTCAATGGACGATGCAAGGCTGTGGCCTTTGGGGCAAATCTGCAAAACAGCGCATAATGGCATGAGTTCACCCAAGTGCTTGACAAAAGCAGTTTATCAACGAAGTGGAAATTGTGCTGAAAGCACTTACTGTAAGCTGCAACACCATTTTCACTGTTACTGTGCTGAACACACAGGAGTTGCATTGCACTGCTGGAGTTACTTCTCACAATAGAGAAAGAGAATGTTTCTGAAACAGTAGAGCATTTGTATTATTGTAAACTCTATGTATATACTTGTAGAACTGTGAAGATTCCATTCCTCATCATGAGTCTATAATATAAAAGCTTGAGTAAATCCTGCATTCTAAATTACAGTGTGTTGCCAAAGATAAGGTAAAAAAGGATTTTTTTTTAAAAAAGTGTGGTTAATTTATTCTTCCCATTTTTTTTCCTAAAGCAACATTTTAAAAAAACTGACTCCTTTTAAACCAATGCATATTCTTTTAGATTGTTAACACTGAATAAGCCCCTATAAACTCTCCTCAATGTCTCACACCTTCAGGGATGTAAGAATGTATTTTTAAGCACCTCTACTTCACAAAATGCACTTAATTTAAATTTAAATATAATTATTTTACAAAGAAATGAGTGCTTTCACTTAAAAAGATGCCTTGAAATTATATCTATGTTTATGCATATAAACAAAACAATACAATAGACAACCTTTGGTTCTATGCATTTTTTTGTTTCTACAGGCAGTCACTAATGTCTCCCTAAACCCAAACAAATGCCATAAAACGACACTTCCAATGAGTCTGATTTATGGAAATTAAGTCAAATAAAGCAATCCAATTGATTTAGTGAGGCAGCTTGGGCAATTTACACTTACTTTATAGTGTTGCCTAAAATCAATTAATTTGCGGTTTAGAGTGAGTTAAAGAACAGAGAATGGTCTCAAGCACTTCCATATCCTGGTTCCAGATGATAACCCAAGCTAAGGTACAGTATGTCATCAATGGAGTACCTAATGCACCTGCTTAAAAATACTGTGGTCAAAAGTTCACATTCTACAGGCAGAGACTGCATAGAATGTACCCTTAAGCGTGAAAACTAAAATTAGCTCAGTATTTCAATTTTTTACTAAGATTTTTCTCTGAGTAGTTTCAGAGCACCTCAGTTTCCAATACGCCAGACAGTAAATATATATACACTTATATATTAGTGTTAAACCTGCAAATACACAGTGGTAATGGTACTTGCACATATGGCTTTTCAATACTGAGGTTGAACATCAAATTGTAAACACAGTTTAGAATTACTTATAACCTTTAATGCCTGGTATGAAAGCATTTTAAATACTAGATAAAATGGAAAAAAATACAAAAAACTATTTGAAATACAGCAATATCAATGCCAAGTGTATGTTAATTAAAGATTAGCTCTGTCACAAGACACCAATTTCTAAGAGGAAAAGATTGAGGTTATTAAGGTGCATTTAAATGTTTGTTTTTTGTTTGCTTGATGAAACAGATCTTGTTGATTAAGAATGAATCCAATAGTGAAATGAAAACTCTTAAAAAATATAAAAAATATAAATATCTAAATAGTTGCAAAAAAATAGTATATCAGGTAACCACAGTAGAAAGTTCAAGTCTTAATACATCAAACTGTTCAGTCTTCACAGAAAGTTTCAAAATGCCAGAAGAGTAATTGACCCAGTTAGCAAATACAAGAACCTTGAGTATTTGGGAGAAGACTGCACAGATGGATGAGCAGCACCCTAACAAAAGAGGGATCCAGTCAGCAAAGGGTCTATTGACAGAACAGTAAATGAGGATGCCACTAAGGAATTCAGCCAGGGAGATCCATTGTTTTTATATGTGTCAGATTTGATGGTATCATATTGCAAGCCCTAGCAATAAAATAGCGCTTTTGACAGTGTAGGCATTTAAACACTGGTGCAATTTGTAGAAAGAACAGGGCTTTATCACCTTCCAGAACAAAAATAATCTTCCAAATAAAAAAAATAACAATGCCATCATAACAATATTTCCAAACAAAGATAACAAGTCTTCTAAACCTCATTAAACTCAATGAAGGAGAAAATTGTAAGGGTAACAACTCAGCAGTACTATGAGATTTTGAGAAGGACATATGGTTTCTAAAGGTTCCTAAATGTGATAAGACAGATCTCATACAAAATAATGAAAAACAAGCAAACTGCTAAAATAAGAAAAATGTAAATTCTACAAAGACCTGCTAGCCAATTGTTCACTCAAATTTATATGGATGTATCGGTCAAGTCTTAAAATCAGTAACCAGCTTTAATACATATATCTATCAGAAAAGAGACATGCAGGTATCATCATCTTAAGTCAGCTATGCGCCATGAGATTCAAGGTGAAAATGGATCATGCAATAGATGCTGAGCAGCAAGCCTTGATTTATAAAACCATTACAATTTACCCTTTGTGTCTTATAATAGGAGAAATACTTCCTAATGCACATTTCAGAAGTATAAGTGATCCTCGCCATCTTTGTGATGTTTTTGATTGTGGAGACTCATGGTGAAATGTATGCATTTACTGTGTCACATTACAGCTGTAGACCCAGCATCTGAGTTAAAATATCAATATAATCTTACAGAACACTATGCAGCAATGACATTTTTTTCTAACTATCATGGTAGTGGTCTGTGACACTTTTCACATTTATTGAGAGTGTGCAAGATCATTTACATTTTTAAGTAATGCTAATAAAGAGATGTTGCATGCTGGCTAAGGCTTTCAAAGCCACATAAGTACTACATTCCTTCATGCACAAACAGTAAAATGGGCAACTGGAATCTTGCATGCAGTGGGTTCTCATAGTGCGTGATTAAGGGTTTCTGTCAAGCCACATTGAAATTCAAATGTAAATCACCACTGCAACAAAAGTCTGCTGGGGCCATACAATATCTCTTTGGTACTCTACAGGGATGGCTGATAAATCTGAAATTTCTGCATTATAAAAATGTAATATAATGAAGATTACTTTTATATTGAAAAATAATTACCTGTAAGTCAGATGTTTTTTTATATAAAATGACAGAATGAAGCAAGATTCAGAAAATAATTTCTTATATAATCAAAGTGTTACAATGTATGAATAACTCCCAAATATATCAGTTATTTCCTTTCATACTACCACACTGAGTGGCAGGAAGAAAAAAATAATTAAGGAAATTAGTTCATGCAAACTAGA